ATACAACTTGATTAGAAGAATTGGATTAGTAAGTTTCTTATTGCTCTAGTTTGAGAGTCCAAAAGAACTAATCTTGTACTTCCTAACTTGGTTCAATACATATTTATTGTTTGACCAAAAAAAGAACATGATTAGTTGTCGGAAAATAAACAAACTTTTATGACATATCAGTATGAGGGGTGGCCACGAGATAAGGGGAGAACTCTTTAAAGACTAAGTCCAGCAGTTTTTTCAAAATTGAAAATAACCTACGGAGTACTCCAATGATAATTTTTCCCAACCACAAATATGAAAAGGTTCATCAACATACAAGCATTCTACACATACTCCCAAAAGGATCATTAACATCAATAAAGGTCAAGATAATCTGGAAACTGATGTACCTGTTCCTTTTTCGCCTCGTAGTCAATTATAAACTCATCAATCCTTTCTTGCAACACATCTAACCCTGGCCTATTCTGATAATAATTAGCAACCCATTCTGCACCCAGAAAAAAGGAGGAAATTTTCTATTTATCAATGTATACTTGTGTTCTCATATACAACATTTCGCACTGCAGTATATCCAAAAAAGATCATTTCTTTGGGTGTGCAAGCTAGCCTGGACACCAATATTATCCCCGTAAAAAATGAACATTTCAATTCATCATGTCTATGAACATAACTGGCAAGACATTAAAGTAAAACCAGGCATGTGTTACTCAGGTCTCAGAATAAGAAAAATGTTCAACAGCAAGAACTATTAATATGTTGCGTTTAACTTGAACGAGTTTCTTTGGAATATTAAACGAGGAAAATCTCACATCAAAATCATAACGAATATAACACTAGAATCAACAAGAATCGTTATCTTTTTCTTTTTGAAATAATATTATATTTTTTCAAATCACAAGGTAACAGGTATTTCGTATATATATGGAGAGAAGATCATACTTCTCATTCCTTTGGAGTAATCCTCATCCCCTGAAGATAGTTCATAAATCTCTTCTTCTTCAACTTGTTCTCCGTCCACTGGAAAATCATCCTTAGCTATTGATAATGGATGATCCTTCTCTACAATGTCATTGGTCTCTTTTAAATTGCCTATAGGAATTAGACAGCATTGAAATTAAAAAAAAAATCAAATATAGATCTTAAAACATAAATTGTTGTCTTTTCACGATCATACGCATCAAAAGAGGGTCGGTAAATCAAAGTGCATGATGGTCATTGGGTATAACTGTTATCACGAAAACACATGCTTCTTGTACAATAAGTGTGTTGCATTTAACTGGAGCAGTGAAATTCATTTCAATTGATAGAAGTGTCATGTCACTACCTTTTAACATTTAGAGTCTTTAACTATATTGTTTTAAGTCTATATCTTCTACCGCGATTTCCTAAAATAATTTATCTCCTAGGAGAATTAAGAATTTCATACTGTTTCCTGGAAATAAATATTTTAGGAACTGCAATCAGGATTCACTTCATTGTGTTCAAAAGTGAAACTTTTCAGTAGTTTCAATGCTGTATAGTTATAGACATAAGGGCATGCTAGCAAGTGCTATAGACTGCCCCCCTAACGAGATTAACTTTTTGAAACATCAATTGCTTAACATTTTTCAATACCTTAGATATTTTAAATTTGAATACATGATGAAGAAATATTAGAGTGAAATATGTAACTCAATAATCTTTCTTTCTAACCTCTTTGTCGTTTGGGGACACCGTCAACTTCCGCTTTGCCAGCTTTCTTGTCACTTTTTCTCTTCTTTCTCTTGGATTTTCTTGTTTCCTGATTATCAGGCTCACTTGATATGGTATTATCTCGGCCAATTTCATCCTCTATTTCATTAGATTGATTAACTCCACCACTTTCAGCAAGTGTGTTATTTTTCCTCTTCTGCTTTGATGATTTGCTCTTTTTCTTTTCCCCAACTGCATTGTTTGATTCATCTGCTAAAACCTTAAATAAATCATCCATATAAACCAACAATTGATGCTCAACATAAATTATTACTTAACTTTACCAATTCTTTACCTTTATGATATGCGATATGACATTCATCTATATCATCTTTGCTTCTTCTACTTTGCATATTCAAGTTCTTCTTGTTCCTTTTCTTTTCTTTGGTTACCTTGGGAAAATTTTCCTCTACAAAGAAGGCATCAATCAACATCTTTATTCAGGAAACATACAGAAACAGTAAGAAGTATTGGCTGAGTGAAGAAGTCCAGAAGATCTTGGTAAGCACATATTTCTTCCAGTTAACCCAACTTTCAGGATCCTTTCCTGTCACGTCTTCTTTTGAGACAAGTAACAATTCTATTCCGTCAATACTTAGCCACCCCAGGAAAAGGTGCTAAGTTGGAAATTTTACAAGCATCGAAGGGTGCTTAAACCCCTGCCCAAAATCCTATGCCAATTCAATATACTAATTCTCCTACTTCCCCCTACATATTCTGTTTACACCAAAAAAAGAACAAGCTAAGACAATTCATCCTAATTTTCTCGATAGAACTGCTAGTGCTTTCAAAATGTCTACCATTCCTTTCTTTACATACTGTCCACCAAATGCAAGCAGGAATGATCTCACACCAGTCCTTCTCCCCACCTCTATTCTCAATACTCCACCAATTATTCAGTGCCAAAGTGGAACTATAATATTATAGACAATGTTGAACTCTAGATCTAAAATTGTCCTTTTGGGGTATCAAGTGTGCTGGTAATTTTGTATAAAACATATTACCTTGATTGACAAGCATGTATTTTGAGTGCCAACAAAAAGACATTGAGAGATAATTTATTAAAATGAAAAGAGAAGTCCCCTCTAAAGGAGATTGGTCTAGATTGCAGCTGAATGTGTGAATCACCTATTTCTCCATAAGACGACCTCAATCAATATGAAGAGCTGAATCAAGTATAAACTTTACAGCAATGGATAACTCCCAACAATATCTGATATGAGCAAGGATTAATTCATTGTTATGGTCAGTGCATTGGCATAATGTTTCTCAGCTTGCTGTTTCTGGCTCCTTGCTCTTATAATTGCTAACTTATTGTGGTAGTTGACAATTCTAAGGGAACGTGGATTGATAATGATGAGATGGTTGCTAAGCATTGCATATAATGAGTTCAATACTCTGAAATATTAGGCCTGTCTACTGATAGAGTTTGCTATGAAAAATCAAAAGCAATTAATTTATGCTTTCAACATATACAACAAGATACAGATTATTTAAGCACTTAATTGTTAAACCTGTTAGAAGGTGGTTATAACTCCGCAATAACAGCCAAGAATCGAATAATTCTGAACAAACTTTTTTTCACAGACATGACTGAATACGTATTGATATGAGTGAGATTCAAACTCAAAATGTATCCTATTTGCCACTTGAGATTGATCTATTAGTTGGAAGAAAATAGAAGAGTGTATTGCAATGAAAAGTAGAGAAGTTAAAGAGAGAAATATTGAGCCTCAGCCAACAATAATTTACCATTTTGAACAGAGTTAGAGTTCATTGTTTGTGATTCTCCATCTTTAATCTTCTTTTTCTTCAGCTTCCTCTCCAAGTCCTTAGCTCCCATCTTCCTATCGAGACCTCTGTTAATGGAAAACACAACAAATAGGGGAAACAATTTATTTATTTATCAAAAAATAGAAACAGAACTTTTGCCCTAGAAAACAATTTCAAGTATAAATTGTGCACCAATACTAATAAAAAAAACCGTACCAAAAACAGTGTAAGGAGAAGATGAAGTATTTGAGAAGTAAATTCCGCCACAATATTGGAGAGAGACGGCAAAGCAGTCACCGGAGGAAGCAATTGCGACCTCTTACAGCCGCCAAGGAGCGGCGAGGTCTCTGAACGTATAAAGTTTGAGACTTGTTTGGCGACTCCAGAACGAAAGAGACGATACAAACGGACAGGGTATTGGATATAAAAATAGAAAATACAAAACATACCTCTAAAGTTTTAATTGCTACACTTTAAACCCTCATTTTTTAAACATAACCCTACATTTGTGTGTTTGACAAATTATTTTTGTGTTTGATTGATTGAGTCATTAAACAAATTGCTTTAATAAGAAATCAAACAAAAGACACTCTTCTCCCTTTACTTTGTTCTTTATGTTTCGTCTATCAGATATCAGAAATGTATTTAATTATTTATTTTTATAGAAATACATTTTTAAGTAATAGAACTAGTAGTGTTGAAAATTTTTATGTAAGGAAACTAATGAGGTTGAAGAAACATACTTTATGTTCATATGTAAAAATATTTTTACAAAAAAATAGCAGTAATTAATCTATATCGACATAGAGATGTCGAAAGCTTTGTTAGTATATCTTACATTATTCACCTAATGGAAAGAGCAAAATGCACCCTCTTATAGTTAACACGTTTATTACAATCATCATGTAAGTTAATAATTTATATTTTTTCTATTTTAAATAATTTTCATTTTTGTTTTTTAAGAGTTAATTTGGCTAAATAAGATGGATTAATTAGATATTTGAAATTCAAATATTTAAAAATTATATGAAAAATATTACTTTATAAATTACATTTTTTTTCATAATTTAAAAAATATATTAATCAAAATTCATATAATTTAACTAAAAGAAAAAACTGGTAGAAGTATATGGAGACGAATGGAGTATTAAATAATACTCTACGATTTTCACAACTTAAATTTATAACCATCAAACAAATGTTTATTTATAACCATCAAACAAACATTTTTAGTTATTTGATACTTATTTCTGTGCAATTCAGACGTAGTGGTACTAATTATTACTACTATAAATGGTTCTAATTAATGTATTAATGAAAAATTACAAACTTATTCCGAGTCTTAAGTTTCTTTTTTTCTTTTAACTTTTTAACCTCATAATAGACTAGGTTTATGCAAATTCTTTCTCATATTTGAGGCCTAGAATGTGTCTTGCCCTTCAACAAAAATTAACAAATGTCAAACATTGAATGGGTATCAAGATTTATAAATACCCCAATCTTCCTAACACAATACATCAAACAAACAATTTCAAAGAATAATTTGATTTCTCTAAGTTTGTAACATTATCTACTCAATTTTAATCAGAAAAACATGAATAACTCCCAGAACGCAAGCTACCAAGCTGGCCAAGCCAGGGGCCAAGTCCAGGTAATCATATGCACATTCATTTTTACTTTAACATGCTGATAGATAATTGACGGAATTGAAACCTTTAAAATAAAAATAAGTATAAAGCAATGAATGCGCAGTTGTCGAGTCACCTTTGTGGCTACTCTAAAACATTTTCTAATGTCAAAAGGGATTCAATAATTTATGTGTACGTAAACAAAGATTTTGATCACATTAATTTATTATATAAAGCAAATTATTAAAATAATATATTTTTTAAAATTTTTACAAAATTTGTATAAATGTATTTCATAGTAACGTTTTAGGGTATTTTTTATTTTTTAAAAGCTGACGGCATTAGAATTGATATACGTTACTCACAATAACGTTTTACTCCTGAAGCGTTACTCACCGTAACGTTTTAGGAGTTTCAGGAGTAAAATGTTACTGTTAGTTTTTGAAAAACGAAATATACCCTAAAACGTAACTGTAAAATACGTTTATATTAATTTTGTAAAATTTTAAAAAAATATATTATTTTATATAATGATTTAGTATAGTAAAAAATTCACGTAAACAAAAATAACTTTAGCATGTTTATGTTACAAATAGAACTAGTCTTATATAACAGTTTAAAATATGCATTTTTATGTGACAGGAAAAGGGTAACCAGATGATGGACAGGGCTGCCAATGCTGCACAATCTGCAAAGGAATCAGTACAGGAGGTTTGGCTATTAATATCTCACTAAATTTATTTCGTTTTCCAACTATTGATATGACCAGAAAATAATGTGTTTTTGTTGTATTTGATTGATGATATGTATAGACGGGGCAACAAATGCAGGCCAAGGCACAAGGGGCGGCAGATGCAGTTAAGAATGCCACTGGCTTGAACAAATGAAATTCTATTCTTGATTCTCATTTTTTTTTTATTCCCTCTTAATAATTTGAAGTTTCGTTTTCATTTTAAATTAGGAAAGCATTTTCGGTTACTTACTTAGTTGTGTGTAGGTCATATTGTCAACTTTCCTAATGTCATTCTTTCTTTCAATCTAATAATAGTGTTGGTTCCGTTGAATTTATGAACTATGCATTGTCGAGATGATATGATTACAGTTTTGTTAATTTTAAATTTCTTTAGATGCTTCTACTTATCGAAGTTAAATTTTATAAATTCTTTTAAGCGAAAATAAAGTACTAACAATTAAAAAATTATCTTCTTTTAAAGTCTAATAAATATTGAAGTTATACTATATTATATGGTTATAACGTTAGTGTAATGAGCAGCAAATTAACTTTTTAATATATATATATATATATATATACTCGCAGTAGGTTATTTGTTATTCTCAAAATTTTATTGATCATACTTGGGTTAAAAAACGATCGTACATATCAAAAAAATATATGATAAAATTAAAAAAGTGAAGTCAAGTAAATAGAAAAGAAAAGTAACGTTTGAGAACAAAACAAAATATTTCTTGTATTTATATTTTTTTTTTCACGCTATAGGTTAGTTAATTTACAAGTCAAAGTGACTAAGAATAAAAAGGATAATCTTAAATGAAATCTCCATAAACAAAATATGAATTTCTATACGTAAAGTAGAAAGAATACAATAAAATTTCACAAACTTACAAATTAAATTTGAGGATTATGAATATGAAAATTATGGGAGTTATTAATATTATCAAAAATAGAAATTAAAGAGGTTTGAATTATGAATAGTTACTTCTTCAAATGCATTAAATAATAACAAACAGCACTTAAAATATTAAAAAGACTGTCATTTTATAATTAGGACAAGGTCAAAAAATTAGAAGAAAATATAAATAAATTCATAATGAACAAAAATTAGAGAGGCGTAAGTCATGAAATAGTAATTACTCATTATAAATATTAACGTGTGATGAGTCTTTGTTATAACTATTCTTTCGTACATAAAATATTTATTTATAATAAAATAAGTAATTTATTTTCATAATAAATAATTAATTGAATATGAGCAAGGCGAAAAGAAGAATAAAACATGGAAATAGAGGCCATAAAAGTGTAACGTCATCTTAATTATATAGAAGTTCATAATATATATTGATATTAGATATATGTGTATATTGAAAATTTGAAGTTAGACATTCGTAAATCATATGATAAATATTGAAAATTGGAATGAAATTTGTTTTTTATTTAATTTTTGGAAGGACTAGGGGTATGTTCAATTGACTTTTCATTTTGACTTATAAATTAAAAATCATAAGTCAAAAATTTTAAATTTTGACTTTGGATGTACCTTTTATCATTTTAGCTTATTCCCAACCATTCCAAAAATATTTAAAATCTATTTTAATTTTAAAACACTTAGAATAAATCAATTAAATGATTTTTAGATCTAAAAATAATTAATCAAAGTTTAATCAATTTGAAGCCACGAGCATTAAAAAATGAAAAAAATATTAAACAAGTGGGTAAAAAATATTATCATATTCCAATATACGAAATCATAAATAATATTTGTACTTCCATGATGATAATATATATGTGTATTCTACTACATTCAGATCCAATTTTTATTGAATATATTATTATTGTAATATACACAAAATAATTAACCTCAAAATAGACTAAGTTTATGCAACTTCTTCCCCATATTGAGGCCTGGAATGTGTCTTACCCTTCAATCAAGATTAACAAATGTCAAGCACTGAATGGATCTCAATATCTATAAATACCTCAAACTTTCTAAAACAATACATCAACAAGCAATTCCAACTTCTTTAAAAAAAAAACAGTTCGATTTGTCTAAGTTTATAACACTAATTGCTAAATTTTAATCATAAAATCATGGATAACTCCCAAAATTTGAGCTACCAAGCTGGTCAAGCCAAGGGCCAAGCCCAGGTAATCTATATGCTAATACTTATTTGAACATTCTTTTTTTCTTTAACATCTTTGTACATAATTGTCGAAATTAAATACTTTAATGAGTGAATTTGAGAAAATAACAATTGTCATAGAAGTATGTATTATCCGAACCAACGACATATAAAGCAATTTTCGAATTACCTTTGAGCATTTTCCTTGTGTCAATAGGGACTCAACAATTTATGTTTAAATAAACAAAAATATTTCTTGTCTATTTGTGCTACGATTCTCAAACAAGTAGAATTCGTCCTCTATATAATGATTATGTAGCTTTGCTCATAGTGAACGTAATATACATTGTTGTATGATAGGAAAAAGGTAACCAAATGATGGACAGAGCTGCCAATGCTGCACAGTCTGCTAAGGATTCATTACAAGAGGTTTGTCCACTAATATTATTTCACTATATATATACTACATGTAAAGTTATATTTTTTTAGCGATTCATAAGAACAAAAAATAATGTGTTTGTGTTATTATTGATAATTTTGTAGGCGGGACAACAAATGCAGGCCAAGGCACAAGGAGCGGCTGATGCAGTAAAAAATGCTACTGGCTTGAACAAATGAAATTCTAATTTCGATGGGTTCATATTTTTGTAATCGCCTCTAAAATAATTTAAAATATTGTTATTATTTCAAATTAGGAAAGCAATTTCTTTTATTTGGTTTGAGTATTTTTGAGAGGCTTCTTATTTTTGAATTAAAGAAGAAAAAGAAAAAGTTGTGTATAAGTCACACTGACACAACTTTCTTAATTTCTTTTCTTTCTTTTAATCTAATAAAAGTGCATGACTTTGTTTGAATTCTCCAAATTTTAAATTGCTAATGATATTTATAACTTTGTTGTTTTATTTTTTATAATGCTTTTATTTATCGAAGACAAATTTTATCGATCTTCTAAGTTATATCGCATTAGAGATATATAATTTAGTTCTTAAATCTTAGATTACACATTCATGAATTATATGATAAATATTAAAAATTGAAACACAATTTCTCTTATTAAATTATGAAAAGACTAAATATAAGAATGATTAATAAAAGTTCAATAGATTTTAAGTTTTGGACATCAGAAATGAAAGAATGTTAAATGTTTAGCTAAAAAAAATAATTATATTGCAATACATATGAAATAATTAATTTAAAAATATTTCAACAATTATTAAACCTTGGTATCATCACTTTATCGCGTAGAGATAATTAAAGTTACCTTTTATATAAGTTTTTTTTCCAAAGGTATTTTTTTCTTTCTAGAAATCTGTTTGAGTAAATGTAGAATCTTTTAAGTTGCAACATCAACACCATTTTTAAAAAAAAAAATGTTTTGTAAGTTTTGCAAATATTTTAAGTTACGTGAAAAATGCTTTTTATTTTTGTAAAATAAAATAAATAATACTTGAAATTTTATATAATTGGATCGAACAATATAAATTAAAGAATTGCTAGAATATTTTTAGTACTCAACTATTTTAAGAGGTTATTTAGAAAATTTAACGAGCTATATATGATTACATGAAGCCCGTTTATAAAGAAAAAAATGAGGTATAAATTATTACTCATTATAAATGTTAAAACATGTCAAAAGTCTTTATTATAAATATTTTTTTTATTGATAAAATAATTATTTATAATAAATTAAGTAATTTCTTTTATATGCAATAGCTCTATAGCATATGTAGAAGCAAGCTACTAACAATAACCTGTCAATATTCACTGGAGAGTGGAGACGCTACTAGAACAGGACAAAAGAAAAAAAAAGATTAATGCAATCGAAAGCCTTAGAAAAGTATTATATCATTTTATTTATATATATATAGCGAAAAATTGAAGTTCATAAAGATCATAAAACAATTATTGAAGTTGGAATGCAATTTGTCTCCAATTATGGAAGAACGAGATATATAAATAATTAATCAAAATTTGAAGTCTTGCACATCAGAAAATGAAAAAATATTAAACATTTAGATAGGAAATATTACCATATTACAATATAGAAAAAAAATAAAAAATTTTACATCCACAAATAGTAATAAAATGTGTATCTTATTATTTTCAGATCTATATTTCATTGTATATATTTTTGTTGTAATATACACAAAATAATTAACCTCAAAATAAACTAAGTTTATGCAACTTCTTCCCCATATTAAGGCCTGAATGTCTTATCCTTCAACCAAAATTAACAAATGTCAAGCACTGAATGAATTTCAAGATCTATAAATACCCCAAAACTTTCTAAAACAATATATCAACAAGAAATTTTAAGTTCTTTAAAAACTAGTTTGATTTTTCTGATTTTGTAACACTAGTTACTCAATTTCAATCACAATATCATGAATAACTCCCAGAATTTGAGCTACCAAGCTGGCCAAGCCAAGGGCCAAGCCCAGGTAATCTATATGCTATAATTATTTACACTTTTTTTTTCCATTAACATCCTGCTGGATAATTGCAAAAAATAAAAAAAAATTATTGTCATATCAACATGTAGAGCAGTTGTCGAGTGACCTTTGTGGCTACATCGAAGAAACAATTTTTCTTATGTCAAAAAAGGACTCAACAATTTATATACAAAGTTATTTCGAGTTTATTTACATTACAATTCTTAAATAAGTAGCTTTGTCACTGATGTCACATTATTATGTGATAGGAAAAAGGTAATCAGATGATGGATAGTGCTGCCAATATTGCACAGTCTGCTAAGGAATCACTTCAGGAGGTTTGACAATTAATATTTCATTATATATATACATACATTACTGAAGTACATATTCATTTTGTAATGTGTTTGTATTATATTTGATTGATCATTTTGTAGGCGGGACAACAAGTGCAGGCCAAGGCACAAGGAGCCGCAGATGCAGTCAAAAATGCCACCGGCTTGAACAAATAAAATCCTAATTTCGATCAAAACCATATAGGCGCTTTTTTTTTTAATCCCCACTAAAATAATTTGAAATTTTACTGTTATTTCAAATTTGGAAAACAATATTTCTTATTTAAGATGTAGTATTTTTTTTTTAGAGGTTTCTTATTTCTTGGATCAAGGAAAAGTGAAGTTGTGCACATTGCCACTACTTTCTTTTTTTTTCTTTTAATTTAATAAAAATATTTAATTTTGTTGAATCTCTGAACTTTGTATTTCCGAGATGATATGATTATAATTTTATTATTTTAATTTATCGAAGTAAATTTTATCAATCTTTCAAGCTACATTGTTGCATCAAAAATATATAATTTAGCTCCTACGTATTAAGTTAGACATTCATGAATCATGTGATAAAGTATTGAAAATTAAAATACAATTTGTCTCCTAAATTATGGAAAGAATAACTATAAGAATGATTAATCAAAGATCAATGAAATTAAAGTTTTGGACATCAAAAAATGAAAAAATATTTAATATTTTCGATAAAATCTTGCTCACATCACAGTATTATAGCATAAAGATGACTAAAGTTCCCTTTTATGCCAAACATGTATTTATTTTTAAAAGGTAATTTTTTCTTCGAAAAAATTGTTTTTAACCTACAAACATTGAGTGAATGTAGATTTTTAAGTAGCAAGTTCAACACCATTTTTAAATTGTCTTTTATGTTTTGCAAATATTTTAAGTTACCTAAAAATTGCTTTTCATATTTGCAAGATAAATTCTACGGCAGCTAATATTCTTTACATCGATAGTTAACTTATCTATGATCAATTAATACAAACACTATTTGTTAATAAGAAATAATGAATTTCAAATTAAAATAATTTGTTTTGGTAGCAATTTTTTTTAACATCATTTATTTCTATTTTTTATTTAAACATGAACGCTAAGATTATAATTAATGAAAAGCTTATTATAACGCAATTATATCAGCTTAAATGAAAAAATGAAATGGAAGAATTTATATTTTTGATTAAAAGAAAATTAGAATAACAAAATTAGGATCAAATCAAAATATAATTCAATAAATTTATACAAGGGAGAAGAGTCAAATATGCCCCTAAACTATCTGACCTAATTTTAATGCACATATACGACCCGTCTTTTAAATAATCTATTCAATCCGATCCTTTTTTTTAAATACCCTATATGGATCGGATTAGGGCATAATTGAACCATTTAAATGGCGAACACTATCGTGCTCTGATTGAAACTGCCGAGGAATCAATGGCACAACAACTAAAGGAAAAGGAAGTCGAGGTTTGAAAAGCGTTTTGGCGCAACGCAGAGCTGGAGGCGCAAACCTGGCAGACAAAGGCTAGAGCAGAGGAATTCAGCGCAACAACGTTACAGACACAACTGCAAGCTGCAGCATGCGATGATGATGTAAATAACAAAATAATTCACACATATATGAGTCGGATTAGGGGCATAGTTGAACCATTTAAAAGTCGGTCGTATATGTGTTTTAAAATTGGGTCGGATAGTTAGGGCATAAGTGACCCCTTTCTCTTTTAATATAAATATCAAGTGATAATATATATAAATGATGTGAAATCCCATTTGACATTTAAAGAAAAGTAAAATGAGTTGGATATTTCGAGTTGACCAACTAACACCCATAAGGGCATATGTAGACCAAAAGTTCGACGCGAGGGTATAAATGGACCAAACTTTAAACGGGGTATATCTAGACCTTTCGAATAGTTTAGGGGCATATTTGACCCTTTTCCCTTGAATG